TGTCAAGAAGATTTTATCAAATACACACATGCTAGTGGTTGACTTTTTCTGTGAACATTAAATAGTGAATGTAAAACTGTTGCTTTTCTGTGATGCTGCAAAAAAAATTCTTTTGGTTTTTATACAGGAAAAAAAAACAGACTGCCCTTATGTATGGAGGGCAAATTTTTAATCTTTCGATAATATTGAATAGGAATATTCAAATTTCTGTAAAGATGTGTGATGACTTACATTTCATTGTAAAATATTAGTTAAAGAATGGGTTTACATAAGGACTTCTGTATTTAATATGTCTCCCTGCTAATTTGTAAGCTCTTTTTGAGAAGGATCAGCAAGATTGCTCTGTAAGGAGAGTGATTCCTTACAGAATGGTTTGGTCAAGGAGCTCTGGAATGGGTCGTCTTTTCTGGTACCCTTCCGAAAACCACAGACGATTGGGAAGGGCAATAAAAGAAAAGCTTTGTTCTCTAGGTATGCAAGTGTTTATTATTAAAGGATGTTGGTGAATTTAGAAAAAGAAAAAGTTAATGAGTAGTTTAAAAGAAAAAAGCACTTTAAGATGGAATTCTGTTGCAGTTTTACTCATTAAATTTTTTTAACCTTTGGAGACATATTGAATAAAATGTAGTCTCAATCATGTGATCTGCAATCACTTGCTTATGCTTTGAAATTACTGAGAAAGTTGGTATTGGTTGTATATGATGAATAATTCCTTGAATGAGTTGGGGACACTGTTGTGCAGATTTTATAGCAATTTTAACACAGGGAGAGAATGATTTGGCTTTGTTTGTATTTTCACTTGACCAGGCAACGTTTAAAATATCACAGCTCTTTTGATTTGCTCATAAACAACTGGAAACCAGTTGGGATGATTTGAGCACGGTTTTGTTTTCCATGTCAAGTGCAGTTCAGTGATTTCTGGCTCTGGATACTAGCTTCTTTTGCGCTAACTAACTCTTCATCTTTTGTACATTTTGCGTTTGTCACATTTTCTGCACTGCTTTTTGCCTTTATTTATGGATTCTGCCTTACTTTAAAAAAAATTATGTAAACAAACATGCACAGAAATGGGGGACATCTTAAGGAGTGCCTGGGTACCTCCAGAATAGATAAATTTGCCAAGTTAAAGGCACAACCAGCCAAAAAGTGCCTTTTTTTCTTTTTACATACTGTTGCTGAAACAAGAAGCAGCAGACAGCTTTTCACTGTTGTGCACTAATATTGAAATTAACCAGTCATTTCACTGTTGGAAGTAAACATCGATCTGATTTCAGCTGTACAGCTTTATAACTTATTGCGGGTTAAGAGAGCCGTTGTCATAAATTGCGTGTGCAAAGAAGTAAGGGTGGCATTGTAGTGAATCTCTCACTTTCTTTTCCAAACATTTTCATAGACACATGGCAGAGTTAGCATTTTATAAATGTTTCTGATAATGTGCTGGGACATTTTAAATGTGACGTTTTAAATTAATTTTGAATAAATCATTTCTTACAGATACCCCTTCTTCCTTCCCCCATCCCTAGTACTTTGTTAATGGGTCATAAATCATCACAAGAAGTCAGTACGCAGCGGTGATGGTGATGGAAGAAGCTGGTAATGTTCCTATGGGTTGGCACCACTTGTCACTTCAGGTTCCTGTTATTTCCTATGGAAACAACGTCCTCAATTACCACAGGCCCAGAGAAGCATGGATAAGAGAATTGCATCAGGATGGGTCATCACCACTGTATACTTGAAACCAATACAAACTTTTTCATGGTTCTGCTCACGCTTGTACAAAGTCAATGGTTATAATTTGCAATAAGATGATACTTGGTCAATTATTTTTGTTTCCAGCTGCTGTCATTTGAACCTGCTGAAGATTATTTTTTGGAAAACAGAGTTCAACAAGACTAGTTTTTGTGTAAATTGTGATGCATTTCTATGTTGTAATTTTTACTGCCAATCTTTTTGGATGACAATGTTTTTATACAGCTTACAAAATGTTCAGCGAAGAGCAGCCGCAGCCTGCCTGTGAGCATTCGGGGAGATATGGTCTGATTAATACGTAGACATTGGGCACTGGAAAAATAGGCAGTCTTGATGAACAGTCTTGGGATTCCTGGTCAATGGAATAAAGTTATTCCTTTCACAGAAAACTATTGTAATCTTTAGACTGCGCATACACTGCTACACTGTTGTCTTGTTGATCCTCTTATCTTGAAACTTCTTAAGCCAGTCCTGCAGATGATAAGCTCTGAGAGGTTGCCCTGATTGCCATTTTGGCTCCCGTCCAGAGTAAATCGAAGCAGCTGAACGGCCCTTGGAGCTGCGCCACTGGGTGTCCTTATGCCGTGGCATGTTCTGGTGCACTGTCAGATTTGTATCCATGTGCGGTTTCTTCTCCTGACCTTCTTAGCAGAATCATTTACGCTGGCTACGCTTGCAGTCATGGATTAGACCGGCTTTTGTGTGTCAGATAGCAAGATTTGCAGGCGATCTGGTCTTGAATTAATACTGCCCTTTCTGTTGGTGCGAGGTGCAGAAAGCTGGACATGCAGCGGTGCCACGGTGCTGGTATTCCCCCGCTCATCTGTCTGCTGTCTTCGTAAGCAGAGCTAGGAGCCACAGACAGGGCTGCTGTCCCGGCTCTGCTTTCCTGACAGGTGCCTTTATCCTCCGTTCTAAGGGCAAAGATTTTTACATTTCAAGCATGACCCAGCCTGTGCTCTCCAGTGGCAGTGCCAGTCCTGGGAGCGTGGACTGGGTATTGCAGACAGTGTGCGGAGAGGACTGTCTGCGGTGTACGTGGGATCAGCGCTGCTTTCTCCTGAATGAGGGAAGCTTTTCTGCCTACCCACATACAAGCTTCTAAGCAAGGGCTAATCTTTTAGTATTGTTTCCTTCCACCAGGCTTATGTATGCTTGAACTAAGCCGTAAAAGCTGTATCTGGCTGACTGTGCAGGGAACGTGCTCGCACCTGCTGGGAGCTGGCAGCTGAGCAGGCAGCAGCATCTTCCCCTCTGGCGGGGAAGTCGGCAGAGGTGGAATATCTGATGGGTGTTTTGAGAGGTTGCAGCCTAGTATGCTGAAAAATAACCAGCTGTGTCAAAGCTGTTCAGGAGCTCTTAGGCTAGCATCCCTTTTTCTTTCCCTCTTTGTGCAAAATTCACATTATAGCTGATAAAGTTATGGGCTGTAATTATATACGTGTTGTGTAATTACATGCTTAGATGAGGGTTTGGCTTTTACCATCTTTTAGGTAACAGGTTAGAAATAGTTTAAACCTTTCAAAGTAGTGCTTCCTCCTTGGTCTCTGTCTTTGCTTGCCAATTAAAGCTGGAGTAACGGATCTGTAAGGGGCTTTTTGATGGGGAAAAACCCAACCCAGAATAGCCAAAGTTTGACAGGTTAACCTGGCGCTTGTGGTATCAAGCTTTATCTTTTCATCTATCCTCAGGTAACACCACACAAATTATATGTTGTAGTACCAGGAGGCTGCTAATCACCCCAAAAAAGTGAGCCCCAGCTTTGGTGGCTTTCTCTGCTGCTGTGCATCTCTCCCTGAGCATCTATGCTGTATCTTCTTTCTGGGGTTCAACACTTATCGAGTGAAGCCCAGTGTTACTAGCAGCAGCAACAAAAAGCACAAGGGCAGTTGATGACGGTTTGTTTCCGTAACTGGAAGCTCTTGCCCTACACCACTGTTTTAAAAACAAACTTCTGTTCTCGCGCGTGCATGGGACAAGACGACTCGGCCCCTGGTCTCTGCCCCGGTCCCAGAGCTCAGGCCAGCTGTGGGCAAGGTGAGGGTGCCCACGCTGTCTGCCTGACCTCTGAGCATGCCAGCGGTTGCCCAGGGGCACCTCCTACCCGAGGCAGGGATCGGAGCCCGAGGTGGTGGCCTCTGGCTGGCTCACTAGAGAAGGCAGGGATCAGAGCCCAGCCTCTGGCTGGCTCACTAGAGAAGCAGAGCTCATTTCGGGGAGCAGTATCCCTGCCGGACGGGTGCCAGCTCCCCCTTCCAGACTGGTTCCCCGTGGGGACGTACATGAAGCCAGACGATGGATCATTTCTACTGAGCGCTGGTCTATGAATTTTATTTTAAAAAGACATTTATAAAATGTTTATTTATAAAATTTCAAATAAATATTTAAGGTACAAATGTAAAAACCAAAGTACTGTGAAAGCTTTTTCTTCTTTCTGGTTTGGGTTGGTTTGTTTTTGTTTTTTTTTTTTAAAAAGGAGTTACAGCCAGTTCTATATGTCTTGGGAAGCCCTGAAAGGGAAACTGTTAAAGCAGTGCATAATACCAGCAGATCATTAACTTTGACTTAACAAAAAAAACACTAACAAAGCAGTAGCTGACGCTGTAGCGACGCAGATTAAAATCTAATTAAACAAGCAGACTGTTTAAACTAGAGCCCTTACACTTGACTAAAAAGTAAAGTCGTCTCCTAGGTACATGAGTAGGCAATGATAAAACTGTCCAAAAATGGCTAAACTATGATTTCCCAGGTGCTAAGCAGCATTAGCTGACATCTAATGAGCAACTAAACAGGAAATAAAGGAGAAATCCTCATCACAATAATTTTTTTTAAAAGGTGGTGGTTTTGTCATGTGCTGGGTGACAACACCAACAAACAGCCTCCAGACGGCTCGTACAGTCAGGATATTTATAGAAAGACCCCGCGCACGGTGGGGAAAGGATGCTGGGATGGCTCCTGTGACGGGGCAGGGCTCCGGCTGCGTGGGGACTGCTTAGAGAGCTTTTGCAGAGCCCCTTGGGTCTCAGCCCCACTGTGTGCAAGAAGGTGACGAGCTTGTACCCCACCATCACAGCAGGCCAAGCGCGGAGGTCGTCAGCAGCCGTGTGTCGGAGCATAGACTGTGCCAGGGAGCCGCAGCTCAGCCCCGGGAAGGTACCCAAGCCGGCGATGCGGTGGTCCAGCAAGGCACCCATCCCTGCCACGCCAGGCATACCAGGCCAGGGCAGCTGCGTCTCCGGCTCAGCCCATCCCTACTGCTCGCTCCGGCAGCAAATGGCGATGACCGCAGCTGTGCTGCTGCCTGGGATGCTGGCTGCCACGCAGGTGTCGTCCACAGCGTAGGCTCCCATGGTGCCGGGGCTCTGGGAATGGGCATTACAGCCTGTCAGTGTCCAGCCGTCGTCACAGGACACCGTCACCTAACGGGGGAGAAGAGGTCATCCTCCACAGGTGAGCAAAGGGGCAGGGGTCTGCCCATCCCCAGTGGTCCCTAGGCTCGGGGTGATGTGGCCAGTGTCACACTGAGCCACTGGACCCCAGCTGGATGAGGTGTCCCATTACAGGTGGTCAACTGGGGACACCAGTGAAGGCTGGGGTTGCAGTGGCTGCAGTGAGATGCCGAAGCCAACCTGACCCCCCATCAGGGTGGCAGAGGGACAAGCAGAGGGGAGGACACCACCACGGTGGAGGAGCGTGCACCATCCCTACCTTCTCCACAGAGCCCAGGGACGTGCGCTCCTTCACCCGGCACTCGAGGCTGGCGGCGGGGCAGCACAAGGCGTGCGCCGTTACCTCCGTCTTGCCGGCACAGTGGCTGGGCCCGCTCCCCGGCCCCGCGACGGGTCTGCCGCTGTCACCCAGCGCCGCGGCTGGGGAATGGAAACTGCACCCTGCCGAGGGGAGAGGGGCTGGCAGCGTGGGGCGGCCGCGGCAGCATCCCAGTGCACATGCAGGCGCTAGGGGATGTCCCGGTTGAGCCCCGAGCCTTCCCTGCCTCCATGCATGCAGCACATGTCCCCCTTCCCTGTCACCTCAGCACTCACACCCACCCATTTACCCCCAGGTCCCAGAGTTTTTCTGGAAGAAACACCCTCGGCCATCAGCGTGTTGGCTCAAGGCTCTGTAACCCACCATGTCGGGCATTACCAGTCAGCACGTGGTCCTGCGGGGAGCAGCCGGCACCCTCAGCCGCCAGGGAGCTAGCGTTGATCCAGCACTTGGCCCTGGGCCATGTGCAGCACCTGGCGATGGCGTAGACGCCCTGGCCCCGGAAAGCGTTGTGGGCCACGCACTGCTTCTGCCCGTCCTTGTCCTGCAGCCGGAGCAGCAGGGCATCATTGGGGGTGCTTGGGGGTCTGGAGACGCCCCTCCGAGGCCAGCAGGCACCCCGGGGGACATACTTCTGTCTCCGCACCCCCTGCTCACCTCCATGTGCTCCCCCAGCCGCCTGCCGCTGTGGGAGAAGCTGGAGCAGCTGAGCATCTCCTCAGTGCCGGCACAGCGAGCCACGGCCGTGGCGTGCCGGGTGAGCCCTGAGCGCGCCGACCACACCGAGCGGCAATACAGCTGCTCATCTGCAACGGGGCAGATGGCGTCAGCGGCAGGATGGACACCCACAGCAGCACCCAGAGCCCACGGCATGGACTCCCCCCTACCCTCTGCGTGCAAACAGCCATGCTCGGGCTTAGCCATCCCCAGCACAGCCCAGGGAGGGACATGCCTCTTCTTTCCCCGGTAAGGGCAGAGCTCTGCCGGGCACCCAGCAGGCAGCCAAGGTCTTTACCTATGCCCAGCTGGATGGGCAGCCCGGCCACACTGTTGGGTGTCTGGAGCCGCTGCTCCTCAGGGAACCATGCCATGTCCATGACATTCTTGGTGGCGAAGTGCAGGAGGTGCTGCCGGAGCTCGGTGAGGCTCAGCTGGGGCTCAGCGGTGAGCAGCATGGCGGCGATGCCTGCCAAGAGACCAGGGGGGCCGCAATGAGAACCAGGGGCCACGCAGCCGCCTATGCATGACTCCCCCAACTCCAGAGAGACAGGAGAAGGAATCACTGCAGCCCATCATCCACATGCATAAGATGCGGGAGCTCTGTGCTGGCTGCAGCACCCAAACGTGCTGAAACCGTGGCACATAAAAATGTCCCCAGCACAGGCAGCCCCGATGCCCTGCACCTGCAGGGACACATGCCCAGTGCCAGCACAGCTTGGGGCAAGCGGAGAGCGAGCCCTGCCCACCACCCCAGAGCCCAGCTCGCCTGCCACATGCGCGGCCGCCTGTGACGTCCCGCTCTGCGCCGTGAAGCACGTGCTGCAGTCGCTGGAGGCACCAATGATGTCATCCCCCGGGGCAAACAGGTCCACGCAGCGGCCAAAGTTGGTGCCCAGGGTGCCGATGGAGGCGGGCTGGTCCTCGCTGTTGGTGGCGCCAACTGTGATGACCTGCCAGGGTGGTGACGGAGGGGAACGTGGGCGGGACAGGATGCGCAGCCCCAGCCCGCTCAGCCAACTTGGTGCTGGAGCGGATGAGCCTAGGGAGGGGGCAGCGTGTCCCCGCACACCCCTACACCTCAGGGAGCCCCCCCAGCCCATACCTCCGGCTCAGATGCTGGTGAGTACAGGCAGGCATCGTCCTTGTAGTTACCAGCAGCCGCGACCATCACCACCCCCATCTGTGCCATCCGCTGACAGCCGGTGTTAAGCACACGGCTGTAGGCGCCGGCGAAGGGCAGCAGCACCACCAGCGGTGCGTGGGGCTGAGCCTCCAGCGTCGCCTTGATAAACTCCAGCCCTGGGGGGGACAAGATGAGGGACAGGACACTTTCGCAGGATGGGGACGAGGCAGGGGACTCTGGGAGGGAGCGCACTCCGCTCTGGGGCATGGGGTGACTCACCGATGAGGGTCCCACTGACGGTGCCCTTCCCCTGGCAGTTCAGCACGCGGAGGCTGCGGACATTGGCGCCCGTGGCCACGCCGGCATCGCGCCCGCTCAGCACCCCGGCCATGTGAGTCCCGTGGCTGTCACACTTGCTGGCCTGGCACAGGCACCATGGTTTTACGCCCCAGCCCATTGCATCAAAGCAGGGTTGCAACACCCCAGCGTCCTCTCCATCCCACCCCACCCCTTGTGCTTCGCACCAGCTAAATCCCACTGCAGAATAAATCTTCAAAAATATTTTGGGGTGGGGGAAGATAAAAAATTACACTGTGCAGAAGAAGAAAAGCTGGCAGAAAGGATGGAGGATGCAGCCAGCCTTCCCTGGGGCTGTGCTGGTGCTGGGCTCCCCTGCGCACACAGTGGTGCAAGCCATGCAAGGCAGCGCCAGCACCCACCACAGGGTGCAGACAGTCTTTGTGGCCCCGGGTGTGGGGTGGACCTCAATTCCCTCTTGCAACAACACCTTGACATGCACCCATGCCCCCCCAGCCTGCCTTCCCCAGAAAGGAGCCCTGCCCTGCTCAGCCACAGCCCCAAATAGACCATACTGAGGGTCCCAACATCCCCCAGCGCCACAGCTCCTGCTGCTGTGTGTCCTGCTCAGCATTTTGCCATGGGCCGAGTGACTCTCCTGTCATGGGAAGCCCCACAAACCTGTTCAGGGTTCGGTGGGTGCAGGGGAATGCTCTTGCCAGGCTGCAGCATGCAGCACCTCGACGCTCACCTGCCTGTGGAAGCGGGTGCCGTCCTCCTCGGGGATGCTCTCGAAGTCGGTCACAAGCACCCTGCCCTCTATCTCCCGATGGGTGCTCTGCACGCTGGTGTCCAGCAGGTAAATCTCCACCAGGTCACCTTTATCTACCAGGGACACAGCCGGGGGGAAAGGCAACCACCGCTGCTGTCAGCCCAGGCCACCTGGGATGCTCCCAAAGTGCAGCTCCAGACCTGCAGCACCATGGGGCAGGGGGATATCCCCATCCCCTTGAGATCAAGAGAGGGGACAGGGTCACTGACCCTTCCCCGAACCCCCGTGGTCCTCCCCCCACGCCCCAGCACTTACTGGGAGGGCTGTAGGCGCCCGAGCTGGGCTGCGGCGGCACAATTCTGCCCAGGTTCCAGGGGATGCTCTGGGCAAAGACGTAGGCGTCCTCCTCGACGTACTCCACGTGTGGCAGCTTCAGCGCCTGTGGCGAGGAGGTGCAGCGCCCAGCGTGGTGGCAAAGCTCCTGTTCCCCCCCGAGGCTGGGGCTGCCACCCCCCACCAGTGCCCACCCCTGCTGCTGCCACCCACCACCACCCCCCG